CACACACTCTCACACACACACACACACACACTCACTCACACATACACACACAGCCTCAGGAGACTCCATTTCTCCAGGATCAGTGCAGAACAAACCCTGCATGCGAAACGTAGTATGCATCGAACACCTGAACAAACTACTGCATACTACGTCGAATACTGCAACGGTTTCTTCCATTTCCAGTGTGATGAATGAACCATCATTTTATTGAATTTTAATGTTATCAACTTTTTATTATATTCCATTAATTGTCATATTTTATTACAACTTTACTTAATTATATGATCTTTTTAAACTGCAAAGAAAATGTACGCAGTACACACAATTAAATAACATGCCTAAACTACAGCTCGAAAACTATGTGAACATTTTTTTTTATCAAATATAAATATTTTTAATGTAAATGTATGCAATTTATTACATAAAATAACACTAGAGGACAACTTCTGCTGTCACTCATTTTAAATTTATACTAATGATTTTTATAATAATAATATTTTACACACACACATATATATATATATAATTTATAATAATAATAATTATTATTATTAACTAATTTGAAATACACAAAGTCCAACATTTAATTTAAATATACATATATATATATATAAAATTTATTATCTTAACTAATTTGAAATTGGCCAACATTTAATTTATATTCTAAATGTACTGTTAATATTAACGCATTTAAAATGAAGTAACACAAGAGGACAATATTCAAAACTGGAAAAACGTATTCTGTATAATAATTTTCTGACATCTTATTCTAAATTTATAATAATTTATAATAATAATTATTAGTAACAATATAACAATATAATAATTATAATGAGCTGTTGCAGTAATAATATTAATAATCTCTAATAATAAAGTCTGTTCGGTTCGAAGCGGCCTGGACCAACATACACCAGCATACATGTGTTCATTTAAAAGCCCAGCCTCGCATCAGCGAACACCGACACAGAAGAGACTCGGAGCTCTGAACGCCACTAACCGGTGAACGCGGGAGCAGAACCGGGAGCAGAACCGGGAGCAGAACCGGGACACGGAGAAACCGGCGACAGATGAAGGACGCTACAGGCTAACGCTAATATAACACAGCAGCTTCAGGACCCCTGAGCCACGCCCCGAATAATGCCTGACTCAAATTACATGATCAGCAGCTCCGACTGGATTATCTTGTTAAGAGTACATAACAATTAATTTCCGAATTGATGATTTTGTATTAATACATACATATCGGACATTTAGATCAATTTAGCTGAGGAGTAAATGAAGTTGACCGGATCATCAGATGCAGGACCGCAACGGAGAGCTCGGCAAGGAATGTAAAAATGTCAAAACAAACAAACAAACAAACATTTGATTATAAAATAAATATTATACATGATCAATAAATATGACTGTCTGACATTTATTTATATTGTAAATGTTTATAATAATAACAAGTATTATTATTATTGACTTAGTACTTGGACTTAATTTAAAATTGGCGTATTTTTATGCAAATATACATAATTTATTATATTCTGAATGTCTAATAATAATAATAATATAGAAGAAATGTAGAATATAAAGTAAACGTCAGAATTTGCCTCTTTCAAATGAGTTAGTGATAATAATTATTATTATTATTTTTATTATGATTAACTAATTTGAAATAGGTAAAGTCTGACATTTATTTCACATTTATATTATATGTATTTTATTATTATTCAGGGGGCTACAAGCAAGTGCTAGGAGAAAAGAAACGGTGTAAAAACATACATAAAAATAAGATTAAACAAATAAATAAAACGACACGAATAAAAATATTAAAAATAACGAAGATGGATTAAAATGAAGAAATATTAATTTGAAAGAAAATAGGAAAAAATTTAAATGTTTACATCGTATTTTACACATATTTATATAATAATGTTTTCAGTTTAAATTTGATTTTCATACATTAAAAAATATAGCTGTCTTTAACGTTTTAGAATGGCGTGATCAGGACCCAAAGACTAGCTGTTATGCTCATTATTATTATTATTATCATCCTAAAAGGGCTGTTTGGCACGACAGAAACTCCACTTTTCTCATTTCAGTTTAATCTGTATGTTTTATTGACGATGGCAGACAAATGGTGAGCATCCACACAAATCCCAGCTGTATCCAATCAAACACAATATTCACTCAAACCTTCAAAAACACACTTCAGGCCTGACCAAAGTCCATAAGAGGCCGAATGGCATTTTCAAGCACAGTGATCATCTGCTCGTCATCTGAACGAGTTCACGTATTAAAGATCGTGTTATGAAGCGTATGGAGTGCGTGAAAACCATTGGAAAATGAAGTATATCATTTATTTGGCGAATGAGAAGATGAAAGCGGCAAGCTAGATTCTTCATTCCCAAGCTACCTTTTAAAATATATTCTGTAGTTTGCTTAGTCTAGCTTTCGATTCAGGGAAATGTTCAGAGGAGCTCTGAGCAATGAACATTATAATACACAATAACTCCTTATGATTCTGTACATCTCCATCAAACTCGTGTGAGGTCAGTCCATCCTCTGTGCTCAGCGAGAGATCTATAAATACACTCGATTAAACATCCTAATGACCGAACACAGAAAACTAGCCCTGATTAGCACAAAAACACCCTTTACTCCGTTTAAACATCCATTAAGACGTGAAATAAGACGAGCACAGCGTGGTTTTCCTCATCTGCCTTCTGCACGTGTTTTACAATCAGTCAATTGTAAACATTCAACAAGTAACGAACACCCTCATGACCGTCATATACAGTAAATCTGAACATAAATCAGGACATCGATGAAAAACAAATGTTCGTATAAAGACAGAGTCACATTTCAAAGGTCATCGGCAACAGGAATGATGCTGCTAAAAAACACCTCATCTTCTTTCCAGAGTTTGGCGAGATTTCTTTTACAATATACTCATTATTAACAAAGACAAAACACAGCATGAATCTCACAAAACCTGCCAGGGTCGTACTTCACTCTAAAAATAAGACATTTTATAATTTAAAAATATTTAAACATCACTTGTTTCAGTTTATATATATATATATATCCATAAAGAATTACAAAATAATAATAATAAAAGAGGGGAAATGTCAAATTGCAAAAAAAAACAAAAATCAATATTAATTTGATTTTGTATTAAATGTTACAATATTAAAAATGTATATGTATGTATATGGACAAACATATATACAGTATATATATGTGAACTGACAGATTTTGTGAGATTCACTGAAATACAGAGGACAAATTTAAGTCTTAAACACAGTATTTCCACTTTGTCATTCCTTATGGACACTAATACTGCCAAAATAAAATCCGCACTATGAAAATAGCAACAATAATGGCAATAAGACCAATGTGACGATCATAATTCAATTAAAACCATCTGGTTTCACACAAAACCTTTTAAGAGAACAGTAAGAGGTTTCATATTGCTTCAAAGGTTGATCGTGTCAGTATCGTTACAACGCTAAAAATCTGAAATGTCTTTGGGAGAAACGAGGAGTTTCCAATGTCAAGTATCTACAGTATTATTATGAAAGGTGAAACCAATACTGCCAACATGTCTTGCAAACCATTTTAAGAGGCCTAAAAGTTTCCCAGTCAACAGGAAAAGCAAAAACTACTTCCGTAGTTGCAGTTTAGTAGTTTTAGTTTCGCATTAAATAAAGAACGTAAATGTTTCCAAATAAGCCAGTATGCAGCACAGAAATCCCTTTAAAGACGGCAGCTACTGTGTGTGTGTGTGTGTGTGAGCGCGTGAGTGTTTGTGTGTGAGAGTGAGTGTGTGTGAGAGTGTGTGTGTCAGAGAGTGAGTGTGTGAGTGTGTGTGTGTGTGAGAGTGTGTGTGTGTGTATGTGAGAGTGTGTGTGTGTGTGAGAGTGTGTGTGTGTGTG